TCAGTTTAGCTTGGGCCTCCAAGTCTTTTGGAGTGCACATATACTTGTAGTAGGCCAAAGCAGTAGGCCCATCCCTGAACATGGTGTCATCGAGAGACACTGTGGAGCCATAATCTCTAATGAAGACTTGCCTGAAGGGAATAGTAGCTTCGGCGTTGGGATAGACGGCATTGGGACCTCGAGGGGGTTCGTCTGAACGACATTCTCTGATCACTATCCCTTGACTCCCCCTCTGCCTTTGGGTTAACTCTTTGTCGTCACCCCTTGCATCTCCTTCGGCAACCCTTTTGCCTAGGGCTTTATTAGAAATAGCAGAAGGGGGGATGGGTAGCCTGAGTGGAGGTGGTCTGGGTGGAGGCAGGGAGAGATGGAGGGGCAGGAGAGCCATTCGGATCAACAAGTGCATGCCTTTCATTCCTCCTTGTCTTGCCAAATATGGGAATAGAAGTATCTTCCGTTGGTAGGATTGGTCCTGCTGTAGCTACAATCCTCCCTAACGCCTCTTCTGCTAGGAGAATGGAGACTTTAGGGATATTGTTCCATATGGACGACTGCAGAATCCTAAGCCTTGCTTTGCAAATCTAGAAGTCAAAGAAATCAGAAGAAAACCCAGGTGATGGGCAATGAAACCACAAAAATGTGGAAGGCACTTTTCACATGTGCACTCATAGGTGTGTTTTTTGTAAGGAGTAAAGTTTGGAAGGGCGCTCATCCCAAACTCCCTAGGTATGACAGGCAGAGGGGTCTGAGGCGACTTCCAATTGCCCCTAATAACAATAGGATTATTCTTCCAATTCTTGTCCAAATCAGAAGTGTCAATGCAGATCTTCAGATCGGTGATTGGATGGAGATGGTACCAAACGGCAATTTTTCTTGTCCTAATCATTTCGTAACAAAAGAAAAGGTCGAACGCGTCTAGTTGAAGACCTCGTTCTAGGTTTAAGAGTATCATGGCAAATAGGATCTCCTATAAAAGTTAGGATCCAGCTGAAGTGTGGCCAATCCTAGGACACTGAGGACCGAATGGAATAGAGGATGAAGGGGAAACCTAACCACACAAAGTTGGGAGGGGGTAAACAAGATTTCATCGTCTTCAAGGCCCCTCCCGGTGCTGACACCCTCGTCGTTCGAATAAAGATGAGTGGTGACATCGTCAGGAATGTTACAACGAATACGAAGGGCTTCGATGCTGATACCCATGGTAATGGGGAAAGGGTGAAAGAAAAAGAGAAGAGACTGCAAAGAGGAAAAACTAACCTTGAAGATGAAGAAAGCAGAAAGACAGAAAAGATTGCCGGAAAACGCAGATTCTTGCCGGAGGGAAGCTTGAGGATTGGAGTACAGACTACAGAGATTGCAAAGGATGAACTTGACAGTGACAAGAGATGGACAAAGCAACCTTCAATTTATTTATAGAAGCTTGAGGCGTTCACGTGGGGAGGTCAGGAGTCAAAAGCAATGATGGCGTTTCAGAAACCGAAGCACCTAGCACGTCTCGCCCGTACACATCCCCCCACACCGTGATGTCCTATCACAACCCTTGTCGCCGTCATTACATATTAATCTCGCCCTAATCATTATGGCGAGATTAAAGGGGCAGATGAAGAGTTGAGAAATACGAACGAGTCTGGGCCGGGCCAAATACAGCCCAACAGATCCGACCGACTGGGCTGAGATTACTCCTCTCTTGAGGAGATTGTTGACTTCATGGGCTCTTTGAGTTCATGGATTTCGTTTTGTCTTTGTATAGTTTGGGACGCGTTCCCCTTTTGAACGCTCTTTAATACATTTTACTTATAAAAAAAAAGAAGATCCATAGCTTAGGCCCAAATTGTATTTAGTCAACTAGTTAGTGTAAACGGACTGCCCCATAAAGGAAGAAGGCCCACCAACCTACAACCTAGGGGCAAAATGTAAGAAATTAGGGCAAGTGTAAGCCTTTATAAATAGAAGCTAGAAAAGGAAAGAGAGGCAGATTGTTTGGAGTGTGAGAAAATCTTTTCCTAATATAGAATAACATTTTCTTGCATCTTCAATAACCCTCCTCATTAGCCTATTGAGAGCCTGCATCGCCATAATAAATAGGAGTGGATACGAGTGTCCCACCATTGCAATCCTTGCGAGCTGCCAAAGTACTTGGTGGGGCAACCCACTAGGCAGTCTGGAATCTACACACTAGCTGGCAATCAAAACTGAGACCAAAATCTGAAATGCTCCTTCATAAAGGAATCCATTAATTTTATTTCAATGCTAGATGGCTCCATGATACTGAAGCATGGTAAGGCGAGCAAGAATTAGATATGTTATCTTGTGTGGAGGCGAAAATAAAAAACTTCAAAAAAAAAAAAAATTGGTTCAAACAAAAATAGTGGAATTTCGGTTGGCAAATAAAGCAACTATAGAACATAAGATGGCCAAGTTAAAAGAAAGTCCGTATCATTTGATAAAGCTGTTATGGATGACATGGAGCTCCAGTTGAAGGAAGTCTGGAAGAGTGAAGAATAATACTGGCAAGAAAACAGGTGGAGATTAAAATACCAAGGTCTTCTATATGAGAACCATGAAGAGGAGAAAGAGGTGTAGAAGATTTTGGTGCAAACTAGCATAACTTTCCTGAAGAAATCAGAACCATAGCCGACTTTGATGTCGTTATGGTTATGTTTTTGTTCATTACAGTGACGTATTTCTTAGTGGTGGGCATTTGATCCGCCAATCCGCGAGTCCGATGCTTTCGGATCGGATCGGATTGTTAGACTCACGGATTGGTGGTGGATTCAATAATTTGGAATCCATAGTTCACGGATCGAATTACGGGCCAGGCTGTTAAAAATTCGACCCGATCCGTGAGAGAGATATATATTCTAAGAACGTATTAGTTAATGATCGTGTAAATTAAAATTAGTTAATGATCATTTAATGGCTTCTAAGAATGTATTAGTTAATGATCATTTAAATGTATGAATTAATGTTGATAAATTGAAATTTTATCTATTGTGCCATGGTAAAAAAATAACAATATTGGGCTATTTGGAAAACTTCAATGTGTGGATCTGATCTGTTATTCCACGGATCCGATCTGATCCATTATTTGGATTGGTGGCGGATTCAAAATTTACCAATCCATTGGGACCAGATTGGATTAGGATTGATGCCTAATCCGATCCTTGGTCACCCCTAGTATTTCTAAAGAAAAAGAGGTTTGACACTTTGATGTATGTTGATAATATTGTCTCCAGGATGTCATATGTTTGTTTTATATAATATGTGATGGTCAATTGTCCAAAATGTGTTTACCCAAGTGTCCAAGATGTGTCGGCGAAGTGTCCAAGATGTGTCGGCCAAGTGTGTGAAATAATAAAAATTATTTTTAAATTTTGACACGGCCATAAAGTGTTGGACACGTGTCCAGAAGTGTCCATGTAGTGTTAGTTTCGGACACAGACACAGACACAGACACGGCGCTTTGTGGAAGTGTCCGTGCTTCTTAGGTCGTTAGTAGAGCATTATTGTATAAATTTACAATTTTTTAAGACGTGTAATTTTAAATAAGTAAAATAACAATTATTAATGTTAGCAGCCTTCCGTCTAAGCTCTTTTTCTGAAGTGGTCTCTTACGTCATAAAAAGGATCACTCTTTGCTGGCTCCACCAATATTCCTCTACTTATTGGAAGAACCAATTTCATTTTGCTTGTACCTCAGAATATATTAAAGGGGTGCAAAAATTTTGGCAGTTCTTGTGATAACAGGAGGGTGCAATATTCTATCTTCTATATATTTTCTTCATACAGCCGACAACCTAAGAAAAATGAAATTAGTTACCATCAAAGACTGTAACATAGTGGTATCTCCTCTACTTCCCAGAGTGTGCGTGAGTTTCTTGCTAATGCAAAAAGAAATGTTTCATCAATTTTTTTTTTCGCTGCACTTTCCTTTAGAGCATGTGGAGTTTACTTTTGGGTAATGTGGATGATTTCATTGGAGAAATAGCAGGAGAAAGTGATAAGATGTGCTTTGCTAAAAAACCTGGAAATTTTGACCTTCATATTTTTACCATCAATTCTTCTATTAGTGAACGTATAACACAAATTTGGATATAGATGCATGTCCTGTGTTTGAGGAGTCAAAGTTTGTGGAATGAGAGTTCTTTTTACCATGGTTACTGGAAAGACAAAGAATTCTAATTTTACCTCTCTTTTATTTATTTATTTATAATTCTTATAATTATGTATCCCTATAGCCAAGCAGTTAGACCCACAGCTCCTAGAATGCAGGAAAACAAGTTTAGTTAGACATGATGGTTGATGATAGATGCGTTCCATTGCCACCATTTGATAGTGCTTTTGTCTTCTTTATTTATGTTGTCCTTTAGGTAACTGGCTGTTTCATGTAAATGTAGAATAAAGCAGTTTTTGGAAATGTGCAATAAAATGAGATAGCTAGTTGTTGGTTTTCCAAAAAAAAAAAAAGGAAGGAAAATAAGAAAAGAAGAAAATAAGGAAATAGCGTAAGGAAAAAAGGAAAATGTGATTTCCTAGCCTTGCAGATTTTGGGTGCTAGGAGAGTTGCAGCAAGATCAAACCTATGCGTCTTAAGGACTGATGGGAGGGAATAAATAAGAGTGGTAAAAGTATATACTGAAAATAAAATAAACAAAATAAGTAAAATAAATAAAGGATGAAGTAGAAGAACCCAGTATCACATCATTGGTTGGCTGGCTGGTGTAACTGTGAGGCATGGGACAAATTTTCTTTAAAATACGTCCTATTAAGAAACTTTTATATGCATTTTTTCATCTAAATTTGGAATCTGTGTTATGGCCTTTAAGAAACTTTTATGTGTATCTTTTCATTCAAAGTTAGAACAGGTATTCTGTCTCTTTTGATGCAATCGTAAAGTTATTTGTTATTCTTCTTGAATTTCGCATGTTGAAAGATTTTGCTTTTGCTTCTTTCTTAATGTGATTCTAAATGTTCACAGTCCTTTTGTTTTTCTAGTGTAGATCCATCTCATTTTGCTATCTTGGTGAAGACTCAGATATGAAGTTCACATAAATACTGTTATTTCTACCAATAGATTCTGATGCTCATGTACTACTTTGTGCCTTAAAGGTGCGGCCAAATTGTTTGACCCATTAAAGAATTTTATTTTATTTCATTTTTTTGTTTTTCAAATAAAGAGCAAGTCAATCCTTGAGTTTTTTTGATACTTTTTCTTGAATATTTATATGTTTTGTTGTTATTATCTAGAAATATTACTAATGGTTTTAGGTTAGGCCATGGAATAGTTCCACAATTGGCTAGCTGCATAAGGTTACGGATCCAATGTGGTTCTCCTTCCTTCCAAATCACAATTTGGTAGCACCATAGGAAAATACCACAATTGGGTAGTATTTGATTTGATACGTGCTGCTTTTTTTTTTTTTTCATTCAAATTATTTAAATTGGCGGCCCCTAATATTTCTTATGAATTTTCTTGTATTTTTTTTTCTTATCTATCTCTTCCTAGATGGCTTTAAGTGAAATGAAGCAGGACCTAATGGGATAGGAAATTTTGGGGATAAGGATATCTATATCACATTAAATGACCAGCGGTGTAGAATATTAGTAGTTGTGCCCTTGCAGTTTTCACCAAGATAAAAGTTATATGGGTAGCGTTATGCTGTTGTTCTCTTTATGAAATGAAATTCACTTATGAATTTATCTTCCGAAAAAAAAAAAAAAAAATTCACTTATGAATATTGTTCTATAAAAAATATTGTTATTACTCGCTATAGGTTCTGTCTTGTCAAAATTTTTTCCCCCCCTACCGTACGTGTAACTAATGACATTTGATAAATACTTAAATTGCTAGTTATTTTTGTAAATCAAGTCTATTTGTATTTTGATTTTGATTATTTAGGGAAACTTGATGTTTTGTCCTGTCATGGAAATGTTACCGCAATTGACCAGTACCTGATTTGGTCCCTGATTGCATGAATGTGGTATCAATATATCATTGAATTTGTCAACTCCAAAGTTTTTTTTCATCCAATGTCTACCCATATCTTCCTCTTTTTTAAATTAAATTTAACAGGACCTACGATTCTGGGAGAAAAGGTAAAAAATTACTTTAGCATGTTTGAAGACCAATACAACTCTTCTGTACTCAACAAATCCGTCTTCTGATTTTTATTGTGTGTGTGTGTGTGTGTGTGTGTGTGTGTGTGTGTGTTTTGGGGTGGGGTGGGGGGAATTGGCTACGTGAATCCTTTTTCCTTTCTGCTGTATCTTAAGGTGTAACTTTACTTAAACTAACGGTATCACATTTTTCCCTGAACCTTTGTCAGCTTTTCTCTTCTCCTTTCCCTAGTGTTATGTCAATGCGGATTATTTCACCGTCTCACTGCTGTTGCTATTGGTCTTTGTGGTACAAGAATAAACTATCTTTGTTGATTTTCTGTCATTTTTGACCAATTGATGCTTCTCAGCACTCTAATTGAAGTACTTATTTGATTTTGTTTTTGTCCATCTCAAAATTTGTAATTCAGGCTCACTTAATTTTTGGGCATGTTGTTTCTTAGCCGCACAACATTGGATGGTCTAGCAAGTATTTTATGGAATTTACTGTACAGTTTTGGAGGTATATTTATTTATTACACTATTTTGAAAGCAATTTATTTTATCCAGTGTATGCCCTCACTTTTTAAATCCCCCCTATGAATAAGTTAGTCTATGTAACGAAATTGTTTCAGTTTTTTTTTTTTTGATAAGTAAAAATAAATTTTTTTTTTTGATGAAATTGTTCAGTTTTTGGCTTATCTTGACCCTTGATTTTTGCGAATATACCCAACCCATTTGTGTTTCTAATTTTCTTATATGTATTAGTCCTACTTAACTTTATTTTAGTACATATACATGTTATAGTTTCATAAATTGAAGCACTATCATCAGTAAATAGCACAAAAAATGGAACTTCACACTGAATGGCTTTTGTCATTTCACCTATAGAAGCAAAGAGTTCGTGGCACCTTCATTAATTGGAATTTGTCTTGTTTATCCTGCAACTGTTGTTACAATAGTTACAATAGATACAATTCCACCATTCATATCCTTCTATGTTGTGGATACATCTATTTGTGGCTGCTGCTTCTTTCTCTCTCTTTTTTCCTTCCTAAAACCCACCATTTTATTTTTAGTAGGCGCCTTATAGGTCATCTCTGGATGCATAATAACCACTTGGATATCTTTTTTATTTTCTCTACACGTTTTCCGGTTTCCATTTGTCTTCAAATTAAGTAAATAGTTTTAATTGTTAACTTCAAGTCTTAGTTGTTGCTTAATCACTCTTCCGTAGTTTTGTTGTGTCACTCATTATTGCAATACCATAATAATTGTACATTTTTGAAACCCCTTGTTTTTATAAATAGGTACTCATAATTTTTTTTTCTCCTTTTTGGTTAGTTATTATGGTCCTATTAAACAAAATTTTTTTTAAGCTACGACACACCATCTTTCTTAAGCACTTCCAAGTATCAGTATATGATTAAGGCAAATAGAAAGTAAACGGAGGGCCTTACATGGTTGGTTTCCTTCTAGATGTGAATAAGTTGTCCTTTTAATCATTGTGTTTCTTTTTTCATCAATCCTCTAGTGAAGGAGAAGAATACCAATCTTATCTTTAAGCTACTTTATATGTCAGTTTGTCTTTTATTTAAGCCCCGTCTTCCCTGTTGTACATTTCAGGTAAGGTGCATATTTGATAGCAGAAAAATCTTGCTTTCAGGTAACATGAAAATTGGGCCTTATTTGTTACCATGGTTATTCCAACCATTTATTGATTTTAGTATCTGAAGGGACATTAGTTTTTTGTGACTAATAATTTAACTGGATCAAAATTTTATTTCTGCAAGCGCGCACACAAGTGCAAACATAAATATATACATTCATACGTGTATATATTTATTTATTTATTGATTTCATATTGTTATTGATTTTATGATGTAAGCCCTTCACAATCAGGTGCTCACTAATATACTTCTGGATTTGACAATTGGCTAATGGTAGAGGATGTTCAGTACAATGGATGTTGGTGTCCTCGTGTGTTTACTGTTTAATGCTAGCCACTTTTGCTCAAGAAGTTTATCTAATTCCTATGCAAGGGTCTTGGTAATATGATTTTTCCAATATTTGTTATTTGTTAACAGTGCCTAACTGATTAGGATATAGGAATTTTGTAAATTGAAATTGTTCTTAATCAAGAGAGAAACAGAGAGAGCAAAATCGTATTCTCTTTGTATATAAAAACATATTACCAAGACCTAATAAGCCTATGTAGGCTTATATATGTTACAAGGTTTACATAATAATAAGCCTAAGATATGTATCAAAGGGAGTTGAAGAATATTCCTTAGCATTATCAGAACGTAGAATACGAATTGGACATCCATATTGAGTTTTGATTTCTTTGCGAAATTTTTGAAAAATTAAAAATAACTTAGAACGATCTTTCATTAGAAACAACCAAGTCAGGCGAGAATAGTCATCCACAAATGTCACAAAATAATGAAATTTATTGATTGAAGAATGTTTTATTGGACCCCATACATCTGAATGAACCAAATGAAAAGGACTAGAAACACGATTATTAACCCTAGACTTGAAAGACACGCGATGATGCTAACTAAGTTGACAAACTTCACATGACAAGAATTTCAAATAACTAAGACTAGGAACTTGACGCTTCAAAACTTGAAGTGATGGGTGACCAAGGCGACAGTGCCACTGGAATGGAGACAGAGAAGACTGAAGAGCCACAGGAGAAGGTTCGAAATCAAAATAATATAAGCCACCGGCTTCATGTCCCGTACCAATCTTCTTCGTCGTCTTGAGATCCTGAAACACATAAGAAGTAGGATCAAATATAACAGAGCACTGGAGAGATTTAGTAAGCTTACTGATAGACATTAAGTTAAAAGGAAACTGCGGAACATGTAAAACAGACGAGAGAGACAATGAATCACTAAGTTGAGTTGTCCCCAAACCTGAAACCTGAATGGATGAACCATTAGCAAGAGTAACACTTTGAGAAGTAGGTACAGAATGAAAATCAGATAGAAGAGAAGAACATCCGGTCATATGATCAGATGCTCTAGTGTCTATGATCCAAGGATTGCGAGTGGAAGACAATAGACATGCGTGTGCAGTACCTGACTGGGCAAAGGTAGCCGTGGAAGATGAATTAGATGCCTGCTTATAAGACAAAAACTGAGTATACTCATCCCGTGGAACATGAACTGTATCTGATTCAGCTACATTGTGCGATCCAGAAGCGACATCATTCGGAGAAGAGGAAACTTGATTTGCATAACTAGATGGTTTCCCATGAAGGTCCCAACAAAAGTTCACAGTATGATTAGAAAGACCACAATGAGTACACTTTCTTAATTCCCTGCCACGGCCACGTCCTCCACGTGAATCACGATTACCACGGGCGGAGCGTCCCCCACGACCTCCATGGTAAGTATTATGTTCACCCTTTGAAACTACCAATGCTGAACGCTCACCACTCTGTCCAGTATTCAAATTTGAGGTATCACTTGCTAGTGTAGCACGCTGAAGTCGAGAAAACACCTGAGCAAGAGATGGAAGTGTTGGACTGCTCATAATCTGTGCACGAAAAGGCTCATATGCTGATGATAAACTAGTAAGAAAACGGACAACATTAAAGTCCGCACGCTGTTGTTGTATACTGCAAACATTAGCAGTGATGGGTTGATGCATATTCAGCTCTTCACAGACTTCTATAACTTTGGAATAATACTCTTCTATACTTTGAGTACCTTGTTCAAGATTGAAGTACTGTTACATAGCTCATAAACACGGGTGATATTACCTATCCTAGAATATAACTGCTGCAATCTATCCCATATCTCCTTGGCTGTATCCAAATAAAGTAACGTTGAACTAATTTGGGGTTCAATACTGTTTATCATCACAGAGATGATCTGAGCATCTTCCTTTTCCCATGCATCAAAGGAAGTATCAGTTGCCTTGAGTTTCTCTTTAGTCAAATGAGAACCAAGACCTCTGCCTTTGAGAAAAATGGCTACAGATTTGGCCCACAATATGTAATTCTTCCCATTGAGCTTAACTGAAGTCATGGGAGAATTAAGACTGTTCGTGGGTGAAAGCAAATCTGAAGTTGAACTTGAGGCCATGTTGAGTCCAGCAAAATAGAGAAGAAAAAGGAGAGAAAACAAAAATTCTGTATTCTGGCCGAACCTGGAAGCAGGTCTGTAACGGGTCGGATTTTGAAACCGGGTCGGATCCTGAAGTGGATCGGATCCTGGTACGGGTCGGATCTTGGAATCGGACCAGATCTGGACTATCCCTGGTTTAGTAAACCGGGATTGGAATAGCACAACCGTGTTGCCAAACACGGGTCTTCTTCTTCACTCTGTCACAAACTCCGGTAAACAATACGGCGGAGGCGACGGCAACCCAACCACGAGCAGCGGCCGAATCAACTTCCGGCCGAAAACCAATCTCACCTCTGCAAATCGAGATGAAGAAGCTTCTGCCGGTGACGACGAAGAAGCCAGAGACGACGACCACCAAAGAGGAGCTACCGGTGACGATGAAGAAGGTAGAAACGACGAACACACTTCAGATCTGATTACGGTGAACAAGAAATTGCCGACAGAGACATCAAAACCACATTCACGATCTGAATCACGATTGGAATCGTGATTCACCACCAACCCACCTACTAACTCTCACACTCATGATCATTGTGCTCTGAGACCATGTTCTTAATCAAGAGAGAAACACAGAGAGCAAAATCGTATTCTCTTTGTATATAAAAACAACTTACAAAACTTAATAAGCCTATGCAGGCTTATATATGTTACAAGTACATAATAACACAAACAGCCTATTAACTAAACATAATTACATAACGATCCACTATTATATATATAACTTCTAACAGAAATCAAATGTGGATTAATGTGGATAGGAGTGTAATTGTCAGACTTTGCAATGACTAGAAGAATAAAATTAGTTCTGTTTCTTTTTCTTTCTAGTGAGGAAATGTAATTGTCACACTTTTTTCATTTTATTTTGTTTGACAATTGTATTCTTTCATTGAGTTAGCAATTTATTAACCAAACAATAGAAAACAAACAAGGAAATATTGACAATTGTATTACTGTTTTTAGATTGTTCTCTTTGAAATACCTATCTGCTCCGGATCAGACAATAAAATGTGTGAAAATACAAATAGAAGTAGGTTGGTATTTGATATGCAGATAAATGCATAGTTGTTGAAATGCATTTAAACTTTGAATGGTAGCCCTGGTCTGCATTGTGTCGAACCCCCCCCCCCCCCCCCCTGTTGTCCTTAGTAAACTATTAATAAGCATACTGGTTGTCTGTTGACATTTCACTTTTTTCTGCTGGGTAAAGCCATCATATTGCTCGTAAGAAAATCTAATCTAGATTTCTGCTTAATCTTTGGCACTGTGTTACTGCTTTTTGGTCCAACTCATAACTATTACTAGCAAGTTTGGTAGCATCACTGCAATCCTAGGAAGCACGGACACTTCTACGAAGGAGCCGTACTCATGTCGGACACCGACGCTCCTCGGATACAAGTCCGACACGTCATATACGTGTCCATAAATAAAAATTAATTTTATTATTTCGGACACTTCGTCGACATTTATCGGACATTTCTAACACAAGTTTACTCAGTAATCTTGAAAATAATATGAATACTATCATGGCAAAGTAATGAAATGATGGTATATATGATATAAAAATTATTACAATAATGAGATAATTTTATTTTCTAATTAATTTCAGAGCAACTCTTAGTATAGAAATTATAAATGAATTAAAGTTTTATAATACTATTACTGAATAGATGTATAATATTAAAAATTTAAATGATTATGAGCCGTGTCCACGCCGTATCTGTGTCCTACGTTTTTAAAATTTGACGTGTCGACATATCCGTTTCGTATCGTGTCTGTATCTCGTGTCCGTGTTCGTGCTACATAGCTGCAATCCCTCTGTGCCCGAAACCCCACATCATCACATGTCTCTAGCTTAATCACTACTATTAGCTCATTTAGAGCCATTTATAGTTGTTAAAGGCTTGAGGCGTCAACGGCCTTTTGGAGCCTAAGCGCAAGGCGCCCTATAAGGCGTGAGCCTGATCGAAGTAAGGCGCGTGTATATAATAATGCATGTTTAAACATATATTATTATATATATTCAGAATCAAGGAGTAATTGCAGTTAATGTAAGTAGTGAACCATAAATTTATGAATTTTGTCAAATATTTCATAAGGTTAAACAATACAACATATGATATAGAACCTTTTAATTTAGTAGTCATTAAGTAAAAAAGAAATTGAAATGAATAAATGATTAAAAAATACAAGACATGCCTTTTTTGAGCTTGGAGCCTACTAAAAAGCGTGAGCCTGATTGAAGGAGCCTGGCCTGTGGTAGGTTGAGGCGCTCAAGGTGAGCCTTGATGAGACTGGGGTTTTTTTGGAGCCTAGGCGCGCGTTTAACAACCATTGCTATACTGCTAACTCCCTTTACCCAAGTCCTTCTCTGCCATTAGCACCAAGCACCATTGCATTGCTCGTTTCTATCAAGCATCTTGTTTGTTGTCCGCTTGTTATTTTTAATCACACTCATGATGCCACTTGTTGGAATGTTTTTTCTCTCTCCTAAAGGAGGGTTAAGTACAAGTAATCTACTGCAATTTTTTCCAAGGTTTACCGACAAGTTTTATTGGAATTGACAACATCTATTTGTGTTGCAACTAATAGTGATCATTAATTGGTATATGTTTTTGTTGCCTGAGGTTTTCCAATAATTGTCAATGGCATGGTTTCTCTGAGACATTGCCAAGATTAAGTTTTATCTATCTGTTATATTTTACTTTTGGTTTTAAATCTGCGGAGAACAATTGATCCTTATTTATCACTAACTTATGTACATACCATCTCAAGAATTTGTTTATTTCAAAATTTCTTGTATGTTTTAACGGAGTCGTTATTGGCCAGGGTTTTGCCAGTCATCATCAATTGAATTGTTTCTCTAAGACAGATCCAAAACAGAGTGTTGTATATCGGTTATCTTTGAATTTTTGGCTTTCATTCCGTGGATAGGGATTGATCCTGTGGGTAGAAATGGAAACAAAGTTCGCAAAGGTATTGGATAATGGCCGTCGTGTTATGCTAGACTTGAAGAGAAAACGGCCAACCCGATGTGAAGCAAATTTTCCTGGAGCATCTTGCATGGTGTTGCCACTGCAGTCCACCTTGAATTCTTCCATTCATAATCTTGGCAAGCAGAGGAAATTGGATGGTACCAAAATCAAGTCTGTTGACTGTCTTTCTCATTTTAGAAGATCTTTGCTTCAAAATTATTCAAATTTTACAAAAAGTGGCCCCCCACAACGATTGTTGTTTTATCAGAATGGCAAATGGACCGATTTTCCTCAGGATTTTGTTTGTTTAATTAAGAACGATCTTCAGGTGAAAAAGGAAGCCACTGAGGTGGAGTATAATGGTCATTCTTTTCTGCTTGACTTTTTGCATATGATGCGGCTGGATCTGAAGACTGGTCTTCAGCAGCCCATCGCGTGGATTGATGATGGAGGGAACTGCTTCTTTCCAGAGATCTTTTCTCATGATGACGAACTCCACAAGAGCTGCTACCATGGATGTGAGAATGATCACAAGAACCAGTTTTCAGATCCGCATGGGTTCCATGATATCGAGCTGAAGCTGGAAATCGAAATAAATGGATCAGAATTTTCTAAGTTGAAGGAATCTAGTGGCGAGTCAAATGTTCTTGTTAAACAAATTGAAGTTGATAAACAGCCTACTCGCAATCATTGTGATGTAGAAGTCGATGGTTTTCCCAGAGCAACTGTGGCAAAAGTCTGTGAGGCGTTTGGGCAAAATCAACGGATAGAAGAAAACTTGGTCTCTGCACATGGAGTTTTGGATTCCAATAGTGTGCGGGAAATGTTTTCCAGGGGCATGAGCTCATTTACCAAAGCAAGTATTGTTGAAATATTTTGTGGTTCAAGTACCATATTGCAAGCTCGGTTGGAGATGTTCCAGAAGCAGGTTGAGATCACCAAAAAGTATCGTGGGGATGCAAATGTTCAGTATGCTTGGCTTCCTTCTTCTGGAGAAGCAGTGTCTAGCCTTATGACATATGGGCTTGGGCACCCCGGACCATCCAAATTTAAGCCGGCCTACGGCGTTGGTGTTCATCTCGCACCTGCAAACTGCACTCACACTAGGTCGGAGTTTTCCTTATCTGCAAATTTATTTAAACTGTAGGAGTTGTGTGCAAATATTTTTTGCAGTGCTTGTAGCATATGCCTGCAAGGAGATAAACTCTCTTTAATATTTGCAATGCTCATGGCAGTTGCCTGAAAGGAGATTAACTGTCTTCTTGGAGGAACTTGCTACATCCACCAAAAAATAAAAATACTACTTAGCTTACTGAAGGGCTATAGGATTTATGAATGCTATATACACTTACGCTTTAGGCTCAGTCAGATTCTATTGTTGAGCTAGCATACTCAGTCGGAGTACAATGCTTCAAAGATTATGAGTTCCGATATGGAAGTTATCAAGATTAGCCTTAATGATTTTTTTTTGTTTTTTCAATCTATGGATCACGGGGAAGAATAAATATATTTATATATTAGAAATAAAATATTCCATATTACAATAATTATAAACTACAACAGCAGAAGAGAAAAAAGTAGAGTCTGGGCTGAAGTATAATTTCTGAACTCTATATATATTTTTGAAAATAGAGAGAGAGAGAGATTCTTACCATTTTCTTTGTGATCTCTTAGAATTTTAAACAGTAATAACTATAGAAAGATCATGCTTGATACTTGTCAAAAAAAAATAAAAATTCATGCTTGATAAGTTACATTTAAAAAGCATTGTGTTTTTTTTAATATTTTGACCTCCATATTGTTGAAACTTTTCAAAGAATTGTACATACTTTATATTTTAACCTTTTTTGAAAAATTGTACATGCTTTATAGTTTAACCCTTTTCGTTTTTTTGTTCTTTCAAAAACCCTCTTTTATTCACACACGCGTGTTGGCGGTGTGTCCACATTGTTTCCGCAGTGTGTAGGCATGTTCCTCACGTGTTCAGGGTGTGTCCCTAGCTCCGCAATGTGTTCAAAAAGAAAAATATTCGGACACTTTTTTGGCGTGTAACCCACATGTCAGGCCGTTTCCGACTTGTGTGTCTGACACTTCTACCTTTTAGGCTTGTCCATGCTTCTCATGACATCAAAGTAAAATATGGGTAACCGCAAGTAAGATTGAAAATGAGTCAAGCTGAGCGGTGTAGTGGCTTGTGAACGTAGTAGTAGTTTGACTCGAGCAAAATCATTTGAATGTAAATTTACACAATCTGTGCGCGCGCGTGCCCGTGTTTATATATAATATGCGGTGTAGTGGCTTGTTCAAGCTTGGCTCGTGAATGTAGTAGTAGTTCGACTCAAGCAAATTCATTTGAATGTAAATTTACGCAATCTGTGCGTGTGTGTATGTGTGTGTGTGTATATATATATTTAATATGCGTGTATATGCTGGATGGTCAAGATTTCTGTGTGTGTGTGTGAGAGAGAGAGAGAGAGAGAGAGAGAGAGAGCAAGCGAGCGAGCGAGCTAACCTTCAAGTTGTTGTAGTGTTGATGGAGTATAGTTGATGGAGTATAGTTGATGTTGCGGTCACCGATGAGTGGTGTTCGACTTGCCAACCAAGGGAAGCTTCACAGGCACAACTTCTGTTTGGGGTGTGGCTAGTATTGGTTTGTAAGGATTGAAAATGGTGATAAGACTAGGATTACATATTAAATATATATGATGGGCTTGAGGCTTGAGAGTAGTAGTCATGGGCTTGACCCGTGAGTTTTTAACTATTAAGAGGAATGAAGCTGTTTGTGTTGGATTTTGTTGGGCTCAACTGATGAGTGTAAGATGATTTAAAATTTAATGGGCCTTTTCATATGTTGGGCTAAACATATCTCATATCTTTATATAATTACACACACACACACACACACACACACAGTCCAAAATGAGCTTGGTCACGAACGAATGAGCCGATTATATATATGTTTGAGCTTATCTTGGCTTGTTTAATAAATGAGCCTAATAATTTTGTTCAAGCTTGGTTCATTTAGAACACAAGCCGAACCTATGTCAAGGCCGAGTCTGAGCTGTTCGCCTATGGCTCAGTTTATTTAGAGCCTAATTCCAAGGGAGTGGAAGAGTTGGTAAAGAACTAAATATAATGTGGAAGTATTGAGTTTGATTTCCCTCACTTGAGTCCGGCTCAAGGTAACTTGGATTAGAATTCGTATAAGGCATTGGGGCCTGCAGCATGTTCAGATAGCATTGTTGCTCTAGTCCAAAAATGAAAATAAAATTTAAATAAAGTGAAATATTTTCGAGGAAATAAAAATGAAAAGTATATTTTCAAGGCCTTGGAGAGGAAGATGCATATTTGATCAATGTATAGAGCGACTTGTTTGATATATTGTGCTATATGGGATTTCCCCCCTCTTTCCCAATTCTACCAAAAATGATTAATCAAATCATAAAAAAGGTTGGGAGTGAGTGCAGTTTTGGGTTATTATAGTAGTATAGCTAGAGCACTGTTGTGGGTATGGTATTAGTCCTTGTTCATTTTTACTAGAGTAATATATTACATAAATCGGTATAATAGGATGACTTGTCGTTCTTGGATTTGGACATGGCTTAGTTGGATCTTTGTGCAGATTAAGACCAGAATGTATGTGTCTACTGACACTGCCAGATATTCCACTACCTTTTACGTGGTCGCATCTAACATGTATAATCTTAACTAATACTGGTAGAATGATAAGGTTTATATCTGTGTGTGTGTGTGTGTATGTTTTTTTTTTTTTTAATAAATAATATCAGCATCTTAACTTTTATTTTGGTTATGGTTAGCTGGGGATGGGGGTCATCTTGATTCATGTTCTTATTTGGTCATTTGAATTGATAAACATTGATCTGGACATGATCAACCCATTGGATTCGCTTGCCCCTTTGTAGATCTTTAACATGACTAAGTGGTTGCTATTTACTACCAACAGTTTGCGTGTTTAGCACTGTTTTTGGCCACTCGCCTTTTGAGGACCATGGAACTTTTATTGTTGGTTGCTTTCTTTGTTATCTCTCTCTCTCTCTCTCTCTCTCTCTCTTCCTCTCTCTTTGGTGTTCTAATATGTAGCTGTGTTCTAATATGTAGCTTTTGTAAAGGGTTGTATTTCTTTTTTTTTTTTTTTTTCTTTCTACAGTGCAAGGTATTGTGATGTTGACGAAAATGGGGTACGATACATGGTATTCTGTCACGTAATAATGGGAAACATGGAGCTTGTTCAGCCTGGATCAAAGCAGTTTCATCCCAGTAGCGAGGACTTTGATAGTGGAGTCGATGATCTTCAAGATCCAAAACATTATATAGTATGGAATATGAATATGAACACCCATATTTACCCAGAGTTTGTTGTTAGTTTCAAAGTCTCTTCCAATGCTGAAGGTGATAATTTTACCGTAAAAAAATCTCATTTGTTTGATGGTCAATGCATTTATTCTCCCCTGCCAAGTCTGGTATTTATGTCGAATATTATATATGCTATAAAGTCAAGCTGTATGTGATTGCAACATGCAAACATAATTTGGATTGTCCAAGACCAATTAGTTTAACTCAAATGTCTAATAAACTTTGATGGTGAAAGTTCAGTTCAGTTCCTAGGAATTGTAATCAGGGTTTTCCTCCATCACCTCTGTTGGGCTTATGGATTTTTTTCATTTGAGGGATGCAGCTTCAATGGATCTCCTGGATCAATGAGATAGTGGCCTATGTCTTGTGTAGAAGATTGTATCCTTCTTTTTTGTCTTTGGACCTGAACCTAGTATATATTATTGTTTGTTTGATTTCTTTTTTAGCGCTTGAGCACTTGTACTTGTATTGTATCTGCAGGGTTTCCGGTTGGAAATGAGGGCGAGTTTGATGTCTCAGGGGTCTCTAGTTGTAAGGGGCCTCAGGTTCAGTTACAGTTAGGTTCATCTCCAGCTGATTCTCCAGCTGATTCAGTAAGTACCCTGATTTATCAGAAAAAAAATTCATTGTGCTTTCATCTTCTTTTTTGTTCTTTTTCTAGTTCTTATTTTTTCTCTTGACTTGTAATGCAAAGTTTTGAATGAGGATCTATAATAAGTATGAGTTTTATTAATACCAAGTAAACTAGATGTGCTGCTTTGATGGTTCATAAGGATGATTTGCTGAGCTCAGCATCCATAGGCTGGATTTAAATTGTGGGTTTGAGTGCTGCTGGCTTGGCCTTTTTTTTTGGGGATTATGTTAAATGGTCTGAATATGTTGAGAAGTCTTAGTGTTTATGACACAGGCCTTGCACGGAAATGCAAAATCCTGTTGCATCAGGGATTGGTTTCCCTTTTTCGTTTTCAAGGCATTTGATATTGTTGGTAAAACATGTGTATTAGGTGGTGAAGTGCTGGGAGGTGCTATGAATTAACAGGCGTGTTGGCCTGATTCCTGCTCAAATTTAATGAACTTTATTAGTTAAAACTTAATTGCTAGTTATATACCAAGAATATTAGTGATGTATTTTCTTCGTTTGTCTTAATATGACTTATTTATTGCCTGGGTCTCTGTTTTCTCTTCTCCCCTTCTCTTGGTATAATCTAGGTGTCCTATATGAAGATGGGGACTATACGTGATCTTTGTGAGAAGTTGGAGTACTTTGGATATGCTTTAATGTGTGGAATAAATGTCAATGCAGTAACAATTGGATGTGGAAAATAAGGTGTGGGATGGTGGTAGTTTTTTTCAATTTCAAGGAACTTTATAGTACCACGTCTTAATGTTCTTTATAATACCGCGTCTTTGTTATATATCTTAAGATTAATATAGCTAAGCGGTAAATTAGTGGTTTGGTGTTTAAACTAAATCCACTTTTCCATTCTCTCTCTCTCTCTCTCTCTCTCTCTCATGCGCACGCGCGAGCGTGTATACATCTGAATGCGATATGATTATGTTCGCGTTTGCACAACGTATTTGTATATTTCATCCAAATGCTTAGGATACTAACCCTCGTTAATTAACCAAAGCAATTACTTTTGCACAAACTTATTTGTATATTGCATCCAAATGCTTAGGGTACTAACTCTTGTTAATTGACCAAAGCAATATCTTTTCTTTTTGGGTCAAAAAGGCATGTGCTTGAAGCACAGTTACTTAATACAGAAGACTAATTGCTTGATTGTCGAGCTTCAGCCTGCCTGAAGTTCATTTTGGTTTGGTTGAGGGTGTACCAAGCTCTGATCTGGTATTTTCTTCAGGCTGTGCTCTGGTTAATCTCAGCCCTCACTGCTTTGCTTACTGGAACTGTTCTGAAATTCTAACCATCACAAGGAAGTTTGTGCATTGTTTACATGCATGGAGTGTTCGTGCTAGAGTTGTTTGGACAATCATTTTCTCTGTCCCATCACCAGTACTTGTTTATCTGATGTTCACTTGATACTTAATGATGGCTTTGGTCTGTGACTTGTAGGATTTGATGTTATTGTTGCAAAACTTTCCCTGTTGTTTAACATCTGGCATTCTGTCTGTCTTTCTTTCCAACAGGTTCCAGTCGAGAGAACACCAAAACAAGATGCTAATCTTGGTACAAGGACCACTCCTAAATCCCCTTGGATGCCATTCCCTGTGTTGTTTGCTGCCATCTCCACTAAAGTTTCCCCTGAAAATATGGAACTAATTAGTTATAATTATGAGGTGTTCAAGGTATGTCAAGTGAGATTTTATCTGTTTCCTTCTCTTGTTTGGGTTGAATTCTTCCTTGACATTTTTTTTTTCTCTTTCTTTCTTTCTTTTTAAATGTTTTTTTTTAAATAAAAAATTTATTGATATTTCTCAGAAAAAGAAGATGAGTCGGGATGACTTTATTAGAAAGTTGAGGTTGATAGTCGGAGACACTTTGTTGAGGTCTACAATTACAAACCTTCAATGCAAGGTAGGGTCTGTACTCTTTTGTGAATTAATTTGTGTGATTTTTTTTTCTTTTAGGTTGTACTATGTGGTTATCTATCGCTTCTGATATATTTCACATTAAATTAATAATTCCAAGTTCTTAAGCATAACATTTGCTATGTATGAGATCTGGGCTACTATAGACGAGATTGTTAATTGACCTAATTTGTCTTCTACATGGTTAAAGGGTATTTAAATATTGAACTACTGAATGCACCTTTCCTGACTAGCTATGTTTTTTTCACAAATAAATTTTTGCTTAGTTGTTTGTGGTCCTCATTCTCGTCAGATGTTTTGGGAGGTTTCTTTTTGTGGCCTATCTATAGGTATGTTTGGCTTGTCATTCTTACCAATTGAAATTTCAATGATGTCATCAACCTTTTCACTGAAATTTGGAGAATACCAATAAGTTGCACACCTAGGATAATTTTATTTTTTTTGATAAGCAAACTTCTATATAGGTTTAATTTCATTTACAAGTGTGAGCTTATTGTTTGTTGAGGGCTTTATGAATTCAAGCTGTTGGGCCTGCTCATTTCTCTCTTGGCTTACAAACTTCTTTCCTGGGTGGTAGGCTGGCTGATCTATCTATTCAAGAGGGAGGTTAATTTAGAATTTTAACAAAAATCTCCCTGCCTTCGTGCATGTTACTCCAAGGGCCTGTCATTCCTTTTTTTTTTTTTTCTTTTTTCTTTTTTTGTCAAATTTGACGTTGGAGCTATCACCTTCGATGAAGAATTTAAAGGAATTTCAATTTTTTTCCAAAAGGAGAAGTGTAAAAGTGTGCTTTAGTGGAATTGTTAATAAGATAGCATATATGTTTCTATCACGATGATGGCTTTTGCGGGCGAGGAAAAGCTATTTTGGCCTAGCGATTGAGATGACAATTAATTTAAGTCCAGTTGATGCTATGAGTGGTGTCAACGGGGGCCAATCTGTATTTATTACTAGATGAATACACCGTTGATTTCTTTAGTGAGTGATGACATAATTTAATTGCATACAAGATTTGGATCCAAGGAAAATAGATTATTTACATGCATAATTTTACCTGTGGAGAAAGGAACTAATTCTCGCTGAACCGTGTAGGGGACAGTCTCAGAGGTACAAGAAAAAGAAACGTTTTGGTGTTTCATCCTCCTCTTGTTCATTTCTACTAGACATGGGGGATATGGCCTTGTATCATAACCATTCTATGTTCTGGAAGAACCTAATGGAAGTCAGGTAATCATGGTTGAAAATGTGAATTTTAAAATTGGAAATGGGAAAACTCTTGAGGCTGTTCTTAAACCTTTGGTGGAATGGTACCTCTTAGTCTTTTGGCCATAAAATTTATAGACAATTTGACCTTTCAAATACTGCTTTGCTGAGTGAAGTTATTCTCAATGGTTATTGGAAGAAACCTGAGCTTCGTGATGCTGCAGCTGTGAGAATATTTGGAACTTAATTTCTGAAGTCAGAATTTTCAAGGTCCTGATCAGATCAGCTGGAAACATGGCAAGGCCTCTTTCAAATCCTTTGGAAGCAGTGTAGGTACCAACTCCCTAAAAAATCTTGGTCAAAGCTAATTTGGAATGTAGGTGGACCAGCTGTGTAGGTTGTTTGGGTCTTCAAAATAAAATTTCTACTTTGTCTAAACTTTAGAATAGAGGTATCTGTGTAGTGCCTGTGTGCCATAATTGTATGAGGTACTCTAATATAGTAGAGCATATTTTCTTCAGTTGTGCATTTACTCAGGGAGTGTGGAAATGGTTAACTGACTTCTTTCAGTGGAATTGGGCTTCTGTGAGGAGTTTTGATCAGTTGGTTGATCAATCTACCAGAAATAATCAGAATTATAAATTACTGGGAATTGTGTTTACAGCGACCATTTGGCAAATTTGCTGGTGCAGAAATCAATCACTTCACAGTGGTGCTTCCCCAAGTGCTGCTAAGACTGCCAAGCAGATCATTTGGAATGTGTTGGACCCTATGGGTATCTGGTTTCAGGATCTGGGTTCTTTGATCAAGACTTGATCTTTGGTGCAGCTGTTTGCTCTCTAGTATTATGTGGTTTTGGTTGGCCTATGTCTTCAATAGAGTTTTGGTCCTTTTGATTCTCTGTGTATTTTCTGGGTATCAATTTACTAAATCTGTTTGTATGCTCTTGTTTTCATGTTGTTCATTCTTTAGAATTGTTCAGTGTGATGTAAGGTCCCATCCTGAGAAGGTTCTTATCCTTCCTTTGTCTGTAAGCTTTGCTCCTTGTTTGGAATAAAATACATTTATGGGTGAAAAAATTGGAAGTCTCTCGTATGCACCTTTATATGGTACATATTCAAGATGGATGTTTATCCTTGGAAGGGGATTTGGGTTCCCAAATCAAAGGGTTCCGGTATCGAGGATGCCAAGCTAATGTTAAATGTTCTTATATAAATGTGAAAGGGAAAGAACACATTGTGAAGGGGTTGGACTATAAGGGATGCTGGAAACTACTCACGAATTTCTGGCGGCTAACTGGTGATTGAAACGAGGCATTTAGAGAAAGGAAAGATCATGAAGTCTATGGAAAAGTGAACCCTTCCTTTTCCTTAACAACAATGGAGATGAATTAAAGTGAACTAAGGTTGTCATAAAGTTTGTGGAATAGAGCTTTGAAACATCCAATGAACAGTTGTACTAAGTTGTAGAAGTAGAATAAGCAGCATCTGTATGTGGAATAGAGATTTGAAACATCCCATATATTGGTAAATACTCCATCAACAACAAAGGGCCTAATGTAGTACATAAATTAACATGATATTAACATCATGATGCAGGATAGAATTCTAGACAGAATGGTGAACAGTTTGACAAGTCCGTTTTTGACCCGGTTAGAGAGTTTTTTTGGGTGGAAACGTGTATTGAGAAAAACCCACTAGCTTTAGCTTGTGGGCCATGTTGGTTTTCCGCTAAAAATCTTCGTTTAGGGCTCCGAAATTGCGCTTTATTATTTTATAGTATGCCTGCTTATTATTTTGGGAATTTTGTTCGAGGCCTTAACGAAGTTGGATTCATACCAAATTTTATATTCAGTAGTTTTTAGTAATTAGATTTCTTATTCTATTTACTTCAGGATTTTTAGAGAGAATTTATCTTTAGGCTTATTTTTATTTTAGTTTCCTTTTTGCTGCTGGGTTTCTTTATATCATTAGGGTTTCTTTATTATAAATATTTATGTACTGCAAGATCAGAATATAACTTTTTCATCAATAATATTTCAGAATTCTTTACGAATTTTCTTATAGTTTGTGGATTCAAACTACACCACCTTGTGGATTCAAGGTAAACCCGTTCCTTGTGAACGATTTTATCGCTTCCACTACGTCAGTTGGTATTAGAGCCTTGATTTACCTTGGGCTGATGATGATTGATCGTATTGGCAGCAACCGCTCTCGCGACGTTGATCGGAGAGTGCAGGCCCCTTGGGCAGCCATGCAAACTAAAAAACGGTTTGATGCAATTGGTTTTGGGATTGGTGGCAACCAGGTTCGTGGTTCTGTTCGTGTTCGCGTTGATGATGTGTCTCTCAACCAACCGAATATAGGTTATGTTCTTGTTTATCCACGTAGGCCTCTATCATATGCGGATTATTTCGATGATTCTTCCGATGATGAGGAGTTCGTATTCAATGATCAAGGTAGACGTAACAATTGTGAATCAAGATACTTGACAGTATAGTATAGTGAGGACATTGACTGATGTCAAGCATGTACCAGAATTGATGAAGAATTTGATATCCCTGGGTACACTGGATTCCCTTCGGGGTTTTAAGTTGCTCTCGTGGCAATGAAGGGATTGAAGAAGCATGGTTTATATGGCTTGGTCATATATGTGAGGCATGAGAGGGGGGTGGATGTTTTGAGTAAGCAAGGTCTGCTTGGTGGTTGGAAAATCGGGAAGCTTGAATTCTATGAGCATTGTCTTCGGAAAATAGTGCATAATGTAGTTCAGTACTAGAATTTACACGACCAAGGGTACGGTGGATTATATCCATTCTGGTCTATGGGGTCCCTCTCAGGTTGCTTCACATGGTGGTGGTAGATATATGATGACTTTGATTGATAATTTATCTCAGAAAGTATGGTTTCATAATCTGAAGCACAAGCATGATGCTTTTGTCACGTTCAAGTTGTGGAAGATCTTGATTGAGAAACAGACTGGAAAAACAGGTCAAAGAGGAAAGACAACGGCTTAGAATTCTGTGACAGAGAATTTAATGAGTTTTAAAGGCTCACGGGATTATGAGACACTGCAAAATGAGGAAGACCACAACAAAATAGAGTTGCAAAATGGATGAACAAAAAAATTTCGAGAGGGCACAATGTATGTTGTCCAATGTTAGGTTAGACAAAGTGTTCTAGGTTGAAGCTGTTTCTACAGCTTGTTTTGGTGAACCAGTCTCCATCAATTCCTATTGACTGAAAGACTCCGGAGGAGGTATCTGAGAAGATATGGGTGTCTTGCGTATGCTCATGTTAACGAGGGAAAGCTTGTACCGAGAGCTAAGAAATGCATATTTTTTTGGTTAAGAGCCCAGGGTCAGGAAAGAATATACTTGTTTGCAGGGTGTGACCTTTCATGAGTCTGCGATGGTTACTTCGCAAAAGGAGGTAGTTGATTCAATGAGGGTTCTGGGTATCAAGGAGAAGGTGGAGCTAAAACAAGTAGGTTAGAGAATGTTCCTCATCGGTTGAATGATGAGTAGGTTCAGCTTCTGGCTGAGAAGGAAGATGCAAAGTTGCAGCAGTACAGTGTGGCTAGAAGCTTGTTAAGGAGGGAGGCTAGGCCACCTCAGAGTAGTATTGGTTTTCACATACTGATTCAATTGCTTTTTGCACTTAGTGTGGCGCAGAGTATTTTTATGAATTAATTCCTTTGTATCAGCTGTGATACCACTTGTCAGGAATTTATTTGCCCAATATCACACAACAATTATGCATTGGCAACAAAAAGAAAATATGATAGAAATAACACACTCAACATGTTGACTTTCATTTCGAAGGAAAGAGATGATTAATTCACAACACTCAATGGATCACTAAAAGGTATTCCACACTCGAGAAATACACTCACTCTTTGGACCACTATATTTTTCTTCTCTCTTTTCTCTTACTCTATTTCTTCACTCTCAATTCTTCACTTGGCTCTTCGCACCTCTTCAAACAATCTGGTCACTCCATGTATATAACAATTTCTATCGACTTGTAGCAGCTCACCTCGTCAAAGAAAATATGATAGAAATAACACACTCAACACACTAACTTCCATTTCGAAGGAAAGAGAAGATTAGGTCACAACACTCAATGTTGTTCAACTTGTTTAGGATTTCTCTAATGGTTCGTTTGGTTAGCATCAAATAGCCAGAAAAGAAGATGTTTGTTGGGTCAAATTGTAATTACTTATAGTTTGTGGCCATAATGTAATAGGCCTTTCTTATATTTGTAAATATCCCCTATTTTGTTTAGGGTTGAGTAATGAGAATTGTACAACCTCCATCTTCGTTTCTCTCTTTAATTTCTACATGGTATCAGAGCACCAATCGGTGCCTCCCAAAATTGTTCGTTGACATCGCTGTGAAGAGGGTGTCGTTGCCTGTGTGGGGGCTTCTTCATCATAGTTGTTTTGTATCATGAAATTTCAGATCGTCATCACTGCTCATTTTTGTTACTTTGCCGTTGACGGTGAAGGTGTTTGCTAGCTTCGAGCTACTTCTGATATGTCGGCCGTTGGCTGTTGCGAGTTGTGTTGTCACTGTGACTGATTTTGTCGGCGACTAATTTTGTTGGCCGGTGTTTGCAGCGGTGAGGCTTCATCGTTACTCTGTCTTGTTGACTAGGAGTGGCAGAGATTCTGCTTTTATTGTTGCTGTTGCGTTGCTCCATTGTGGCTCGCCCGTCTGTTTGTTGTGTTGGAGGAAGGAGGTGTTTGGCTACTGGCGTATGGTTGTCCCAAACCAGTTTTAGACTATCCTGACCCGGTTCAGATCTAACCCGTTTTGTCGACCCGAATTTTGGATCCGTCTGATCTAACCCAGTTTATCTCAGATTTTTCTTGCCTTCTTGGTTGAAGGCTCATTCCTTTGTGCATTCTGTTTTCTTCTTGGGACAACAATGTTTGAAGGCGCATATTTTGTGACAGTTCTTCGCAGTAAAGTACATTTTCTTTGTATTGACTTCTGAGTTTCTTCTTTCTTCCCTTTGTCTCTTTTCTGTATTCAATCTTTGGTGTTGCCAGAAAATACAACAACAGAAAAGGAAAAAGAATCTGTGGGGAAAAAAAAAAATTGGTTCATTTCATTTTTTTTCTACTACATTGTCAGAATCTGCAGCACTGATAGTGTCACACTATCCCGAGCCGAGTTCCATTCCTTAGTCAACTCGGCACAACAAAAATCTGTTAACGGTGTTGTTACCGTTGCCCAGTTAGGTACAATTGCGAGTTTTTGACACTTCAAGTCTTTATCTTCCACTTGGGTTCTTGACTCTGGGACATCTACCCATCTGATGTG